AGAGATGTGCCTTTTCTACTGAGGCTTAATGTCTGATCCTGAGTTTGCTTATAAAGGGGGAAGGACACAGACAGAAAGAAAACAAATAAAGCTGCTAAAAGAAGGCCGTCGGTTGTCTGACAATAACTTCGAATTAAATCGCCATTATTTTAGGATATGATTCTAAGCTCATGTCATCACAAGTCTTGGTTTGGAATTTTTCATTTATCTACATGGCAGGGATAGAAGCAAGGAAAAAAAAAAGTCCTGACTGTAGCCTTCTTAATCCTGTGTCATTTTGGTAAATCAAGGCATGATGCTCCTGGCAGAGCAAGCCCTTCTGAAACTACACAGTGTTCGTCTGTGGCAGGAGTGGCCAGTGTCCGTGCCAGGTCCTCTAGGACACTGGTTACCATGCTGAGCAATGAGGGGATTGAGAGAGTAGTAATTGCTTTGGAATTTCCATTGGCCTGTATCTCTAAATGGTGATAATGAGGTATAGGACACAGAAGAGGAGAAGCTAAGGTTTCTTCGAAAACAGAACACTTCCCAGTGATTTTTAAACCTCTCTTGGCATCTCCATGAGTATATTGTTCTTTTATTACTTTTCATGGCAATTGCATCCGGAAATGGTGTTTGTACCAAAAAAATGGAGGTAATGAGCAACGAAGAGCAGTTCTAATGGGGGATCTATCATTAAAGATAGAGTGCACGGACAGCTAACAAACTTATCTAAATTTAGAGTGACTATCAGCCTTAAAGTGGCTGCGTTTATTTCCTTACATAATTAAGCTAATATTTATTAAGCAGCTACCATGTGGCAGGAACAAAGCTTCACTTTCAACATCACATTTAAACCACATAACCAGCCAATGATAGAGGTATTTTGTTTATCCCAATTTAGGGCTGAAAATACTGAGGCTTACAAAGGCTGAGTAACTCTCCCTCCAGGCCACTGACTATATAAGAAAGAGCTGGGATTTACATCTACACTCTAGAGTCAGGCCCACTCTTACCACACTATGCTAGACCGCCTTCCATCTAACCTCCTTTGAGTCTAAACCGAAAAACCAAACTTGTTGCCATCCAGTAGATTCTGACTCATAGCGACTCTGTAGGACAGAGTAGAAGTGCCTCATAGGGTTTCCAAGGAGTGGTTGGTGAATTCAAACTGCTGATGTTTTGGTTAGCAGCCACAGCTGTTAACCACTGAGCCACCAGGGTTCCCCTTTGAGTCTAAAAACCAAAAAACCAAACCCATTGCCGTCGAGTTGATTCCAGCTCATAGCGACTCTATAGGACAGAGTAGAAGTGTCCCCATAGGGTCTAGACACGATTTATAGGAGTCACTGGTAAAATGTGCTTCTGTTGCCCAGGAGGAACTTTCATATAGAAGACCAGCAGAAACCAAGTTTCTGGGAAGTGGAGCACAGAGAGAGTTAAATGGGGAGAAGGGGAGTCAGAACATGGGAGAGCAGCGAGGTAGGGGCCCACTCTTGAGATGGAAGTAGAGGTGGGGATGAGGAAAGAGGATTGGGGTAGGATGGTGTCATCTAAACCGTAGGACAGAGAAACTTGTGATATTAGGGGAGGCAGAAGGAGGCTGAAAGGAAAACAGTAAATATCCTTTAAATCTCAAAGCTACTAGTACTTTCCCTGAAAAACAAAAAAGCAAAACAAACAAAAAAAACCTGTGATTTCTTCTGGACAATAAGAATTAAGATGTCTGCTTCGGAACCAAGATACAGATTCCACTAATAATTACATTAATGAATTTTCTGGTGTCTATTGGAGTGATAGGAGCCCTGGTGGTGTGGTGGTTAAGAGCGATGGCTACTAACCAAAAGGCTGGCAGTTTGAATCCACCAGCTGCTCCTTGGAAACCCTATGAGGAAATTCTACTCTGTCCTATAGGGTCACTATGAGTCAGAATCAACTCCACGGCAATGGATTTGGTTTTCTGGTTTTTATTGGATTATACACTATTTTCATACATTGCCCAATGGCATTTTTAAACTTTATTGTCTGGCCTTCAGTTCATGAGACGAACTCATGAGCCTTTCGTTAGCTTACCAGGTTTCACTCAATACTAGGGGCCAAAGCTAGTTAATCCCTACATGGATCATTCTGCAAGGTCCTAATAGTCAAATCTCCAGCAATTCATTCCCAACTGAGTGCCATTTAGAGCAGTATTTCTTAACCTCTTTTTCATTACTGCTTCCCTAAGGAGTGTTTGGAGTCCCCGGGTGGTGCAAATGGTTAATGTGCTCAGCTGCAAACCAAAATGTTGGTAGTTCGAGTCCACTCGGAGGCACCTCAGGAGGAAGGCCTGGTGATCTGCTTCTGAAAAATCATCCATCGAAGGCCCTACGGAGCATAGTTCTACTCCGACACACAGGGGTCACATAAGTCAGGGTTGATTCAAGGACAGCTGATAAAAAATAGTTTTTTGGACATTTTTCCCCCATGAAATTTTAAGACCACAGATATACTATGTATCTGTTTGGACAACAACCGTTGTAATATCTAAGATTCCCCCACCATCAACAAGAACCAAATTTGCTACCTATGGGGTGATATCGCCCATGTTCAGAATGCATGCGTTACAACTATCAAACAATGAGGGTGAGCCTTCCAAAATGGTGTTTTCCTCTTATGATTGCCTTCCTCATGTGCACAGTTAACATTTATTCCCTTGTCTGTGGTTGTCAGCCCCTTTACTGCCTCCCTTCCCTAAGTAGCTGGAATTGAACCTGTATCAGACTCCAGCACAGCAGGAAAATACTAAGAAAGCATGCTCACTATTCCTCAAACAAAACAGTGCCCCAGGATGCAACTGCCGGCTTCAGTTTCTGGAAACGAAATATACATACCAGTAGTGTCTAATTGAAAAAAAAAAAAAAGCATATTTGAAACTTCTTTTTTCTACTAACCTTAAGGAGGAGCAGGTGATGAAGTGTCTCCCTGCCAGATGTAAAGATCAATAACGTGGTTTAAGGCACATCTCTGACAGTGTCAATTAAGTGAAATCAATTACCTGTTGTGGTTTTACTACTGTTCTTTGCTGTGTGCAGTAATTGTATACCTAACATGTCTATTTAAAAAGGCTGTTTTCTGGAAATACTAAGCATATGATTATTACGGAAAAGTAGATATAAAGAAGTTGATTGTGGGGCCACAAATATAGGCTTTGGCTAAGATCTTCACTATGTTTCTTACTAGCTATGTGTCCTTTAGCAAGTCACTTAAATTCTTTAAACTTCAGTTCTCATTAAAATTAACAATAATCCATACTCAAAGGATTGTTATGAGAATGAGTTTAATAAATTAATAATTATAACTAAGTATATATACATATCTAGCACAGATCTGGAGCCCTGGTGGCAAAATGGTTGAGAGTTCAGGCTGCTAACCAAAAGGCCAGCTGTTCGAATCCACCAGCCACTCCTTGGAAACCCTATGGGGCAGTTCTGCTCTGTCCTACAGGGTCGCTAGGAGTTGGAACCGACTCGACGGCAAAGAATAGCACAGATCTTGGCTTGTAGTAATTGATCCATAGGCAGGGAGGTAGTTTTTTTTATTGCCCCTTCCTTTTGGATATGGATTCAAACTTCAGTGCATTGAGAATAATAAAACCAGTAATCAGTTAATATTATTAACATCAAAAAAAGAAAGAAAGACACTATCATTTATTGGGAGTCCTGGTGGCGCAGTGGTTAAGAGCTACAGCTGCTAACCAAAACGTCGGCAGTTCAAATTCACCAGCCACTCCTTGGAAACCCTATGGGGCAATTCTACTCTGTCCTATAGGGTCACTATGAGTCAGAATTGGCTCGACAGCCAGGGGTTTTGGTTTTATCATTTACTGAACAGCTACTGTATTGAGTACTCTTATGTGCATGTTGTTGCTGAGTTGATTTGGACTCATAGCAACTCCATGTGATAGAGTAGAATTACCCCATAGGGTTCCTGAGGCTGTAATCTTTATTGGAGCAGATAGCCAGGTGTTTTCTCCCATGAAGTTGCTGGGTGGGTTCGAACTGCCAACCTTTTTGTTAGTAGTTGAGAACTTAACCATTGCACCACCAGGGCGCCCAGTAGACCAAAAATTGAGGTTTTGCATGCAATCTGTATATTCACTAATTTATTCATTGCACTGTATTTATTGTGCATGCAGGGGGTGCGAGGTACGAAAACAGTCTTCTCATCAACTGTGTAGTAAGGGCCCTTCTCACAGCCAATACCCAGTTCATATATTCCTTGCAGCAGATTGCCTGGCATTGGGGAATTTCTGCAGGAGTCATTAGGATCAAAGCATTGTCTCAAGTTGAACCTTTATTGATGCAGTCAAAAACCTCTGCTCACTTCAGGAACAGCCTTAACCTGCGTCCAGAGTCTGTCGCGGTATCTCTCTGCTGGTCCACATTACTAATTCAGCTAACTGCAGCAATTACATGAAGGAACTGCTGCTAGCGAGAGAAGCCATTATGCTGTTCCTGAACAGACTGCATTCCGTAGCGTTCCTTAATTAACCAGCCTATAGACTCGCAAACACCAAATCAGACGCTTGAGACCACACACCATATGCATCGAAATGCTCTCAAACCTGCAGTGCCTTTCTGCACTGGTTTTCACTCTTGTCCTGCCCATCATTTGCAACAGCCCTACTCCTGCCCTTCTGGTTCTAAAAATTGAAATCAAAGCCAGGATAGAATCATGCTGCTCATTGTGATTTATAGGGATGTGATAGGCTTGAGCCACCTGAACCCATTTTGGGCCACTCAGCTTCGTATAGACACACACAGATTATCTGGACCCAGAGCCTTTCACAGCTACACAGGAGTTAAAAATGCTCTATCCTACAGCATGCCCTCTTTAGAAAAGAATATCAGTAATAACCATGGGAGACGGGACACAGTGATAAGTCTTTGATGCCTTTGTTCAATGGTTTCCTTATCTTTCTCTCCCCTTCTCTTTTCTCTCTCTCCTCCCATCCCAATATTTTTCTTTGACATGCACAGCCAACATCAGATGACCTTGTTTCATCTGCTGAATGTTCTAGTGATGATGAAGACTTCGTAGAATGTGAGCCAAGTACAGGTAGGTCAGGTCAGTCTTGTTTTGCTTGCTTTCTTTTTTCATTTGCAAAAAAAAATACATACAATAATGTGAATATATACGTGTTTTATATATATTATAGTGTGTTAATGTGTGTGTATCTCCTATATCTATATATGTACAGGAATACATATATAAATATTAATAGTCAAATGAAAGCATCAAGTCCCATGGAATGAGCAGTAATATCCCAGGGAAATTTACAGTCAGTCCTTGACAACTAAAGAAAAATCTATGGTGAAAGACCTAATTTTGGGCAACTGGAAGTCCAAATTAACCACTAAAAATACAAATTCATAGCAGCCAGGGGCAGCTATGAAATTGACAGCAGATGGGGGCATGAAGAGGTTGATATTGGAATGACATCAAAAAAGTATGAAGCCAAAATGGAGCTTATGGTAAATAACATTTAAACCTCATGAATTGTTCTGAATCCAAGCGACAAACAAAACAAAATGAAACAAATCAAAGCAAAAACACATTTTTCCATGGGATTTTGACAGCAGTTAACATGGTATATTTATACTAGTTTTGTTCATTGTGTGTCTAGAGAACTTATGAAGCAATATAGTTTAGGAAACCAAAATCAGTACTGAACCATGCCATGTCAACGGCTGTGATGTTTCAAAATGTATCTACTGTGCTGAAGTTGAGAGGACTTTGGCAATTAGAAGCTTCAATGTGCTCCCTTTTTGAACCCAGATACATTTTGATGTTTTCTGGTCTTTCTTTATAGTAAGCTATATATGATATAATGTCCAGCAGGCATCTGCAGTCCCTTATTATTTCCTATCAACTTTCCCAAGTCATCTGTTTTGAGACTTGCTATAAGTTAACCATTTATATATATATATGTAATAGAGAACAGATATCATCGAATTTCTGTGTATGTTTAATGAAATCAAAAGCTTGAGTTGCATTAGGATCTTATTTTAGCAAAGGTTAAAAGAAATAAGTAGAATTTTCTAGTTGATTCTTTTCATTGTTTTATTTTTCTTCTTTTTTAAAAAAAAAAGAGAAGCCATTAAATATTTTCTTTTGCTAATTCCAGAGAAATTTGAGCTTCGTGGAAAAAAAAAAGTAACAGAAGTAAAAAACCCTCCATTTCTTACCCCAAAATGATTGACAAGTGTTGAAGCCTGTCTCCTTAGTGACTTGCAAGTGGCTTTGGATCCAGGAAGTTCTATGAGTTCTCATCCTTAGCATTATAGCGACATATCAATAATATGTAGGGCTTTTCCATTCTGGAGTGTGATGTGTTCCTTTGGGAGCTCAGTTGTATGGAAGGAAAGTAAATTTGACCTGGTTAGTCACATTTTTTCAGGTTATTGGGTAATTAAATTGAGGTTTTAACTCTAAAGGGCAGATAAATCCAATCTATACCAGAACTTGGACACCAAGTTCTTATTCATTAATTAATTCACCCATCCATTCATTCATTCAGTAAATATTTCTTGAGCACTCAGGCAGGATGCAATGTATTCCTGGTTTTGAGCCCTTCCTATTTTAATAATTTTCATAAACGAGCTGTCAGAAAATAGAATAAAGAGATTTACTATCTAAATTACCTCTCCAACATAATTTAGTTCAACAGATATTTTTTGAGGGCCAACTATTTATGTTCGACACTGTGCTAGATATTAAGAATTCAGATATGAATATGGCATGATCCCAAAGACATGATGTTAAATTAACTGATTGTATGGCTAATAGTTTAAGATACCTAGGTTTTAATTTGGAGTATCTATTTTCATGCTTTCTCAGCAGTGGTACTTGTATATGCAAGATTTATCAAGTCCTTGTATTTTAAGCATCCTTATAAAAGGTGAAGCTTGAACCTTCAGAAATATTACTACCACTCTCCTCCACTGCCAACATCCCTTCTCCTTGCACACACTGTCATCTCCAGAGATACCTCCACAGTAAGGCAAAACGTTTTTTTCTAGATTTAAGATCCACAAGATCTACCTCTCCCCAGGTAGTGGGTATATATTTGCCATTTGATATTAAACTTGAATAGCTCCAAACTAAGTCCATTTGCTTTTTAGTGGCTGCAAAGATATTTCATCTGATTCAAAAGCAGGGGATACAAATTCAATGCCAGCATTTCTGAAATAATATAATTACATCTAGTGGGTGGGGGATAAAAGCAATTTTTAAAACAATGTGTTGCTTGTGCAGGGGACTTCAGGGGTGCCCAAGTAGGGAATATACAAATAAAGTAGGTCACAGAGTCCCCACCCTGAGGGAATTGATCTCCTCTGCCTAGAATTATTCAACTCATCACATTTGCAGAATAAGCATTTCCTCTTTCTAAATTTATCTGCTTCATAAAGTATTCCTGGTAAGTGATATGGATAAACAGGGAATTATGTCAGAGGCATATTTAATACAGGAAGGAGGTAGATATTTCTGTTGATGCCTAGAGAGAAGAGATTTTTGCCCTGGGGTTCTGATTAGTTCTGATGAGGGTTACATGCATACAGCTCTCAAGTCCTCTTTTCCATTACACAGGAAATACTTCCCCAGCCTTTAAGTTTCCCCAAAACAGTAAGGATTAAGCATCAGAAGCATTTAAGCCAGTAGTTTCTGGGGCCAGGTCTTGCACTGCCGATAGGGAAGGCACCCATTGCCCATGCAGCAGTAGAAAATGGTGATGTTTACATAACTTTGACGTAAATTATTCATCCTGAGATGTTATGTGAATATTGAGATTAAAATTCTGCTTTTGACATCCTAATTCGCTGCCTTAGTTTCCAAAATTCTGCTTTTTCCCAGAACTAAGGCTTGTTGGGGTCACACTAAACTTGACTCATCACCCAGGCCTTGTTCTATTGTATTTAACAATTACTTTGTCTTCTCTCACTTTGGCAGCGAGTTTATTATTTTCTATCTGTCTCAGTTACCAGGCATTTAATTTCTACAGGTTATTTCTTGGATAGTTTAGATACATTTGAGCCCTCACTTTTCATAAATTAGGGCAGTTTAGTATATGCTGTGATTCAACCACTTTTGTTTTCATGTGGGCCCGTAAACCCATTGCCGTCAAGTCAGTTCGGACTCATAGCGACCCTATGGGACAGAACAGAACTGCCCCATAGGGTTTCCAAGGAGCACCTGGTGGATTTGAATGCTGACCTTTCGGTTAGCAGCCATAGCTCTTAACCACTGTACACCAGGGTTTCCTTCATGTGGGCATCAAAGTTTAAATGAAATCAGTTTCCTAATTTAATGTTCTTTGAATCAAAATGGATTTCAAAGCCGCTGGTTTTGAGTCAGATGTAAGCAATTGCCTTTTCACACCCAGAACCCACTTTGGCATTTACAGGCCTCTGTGTGAGGAGCCGTGGTGGTGC